CTCACCTCTACTGCTTTTCCTATTTTTTTTTTAACTGGAAAGTCAGATACACTGAGAGGAAGATTTTCCGTCTGCTGATTCACTCCCAACTGACCACAATGGCCCAAGCTCAGCCAGTCTGAAGCCAGGCGCCTGGAGCCTCTTCCAGGTCTCCACACGGGTGCAGGGTCCCAAGGCTTTGGGCAGTCCTTGACTGCTTTCCCAGGCCACAAGCAGGGAGCTGGAAGGGAAGTGGAGCAGCCAGGACATGAACCGGCACCCAAACAGGATCCCAACATGTGCAAGGCAAGGACTTTAACTGCTAGGCTATTGCGCCAGGCCCCCGTTTCCTTTTATTCCTCCTCTACATTAACTCAACCCATTTTTCAGATGTCTAGGAGTCCACTTATCCAGGTGATCAGATTCATAAACACTTTGTCCTTTTGGGACAGAAGGGACAGAACGGACAGGAGCGACAAAAACAGGACGCCCTGACGTCTTCAACTAACCACTGCAAAGGACAGCGTCTGTGAACGTAAGTCTGCTCTCAACGTCAGATGGAACTGAAAGCTTCCAGATTCTTCAATACCTCTTTTTTAAGATTTATTTCTTTTTATCAGAAAGACATATCTATGGAGAGAAGGAAAAACAAAGATCTTCCATCCTCTGGTTCACTCCCCAAGTGGCACAATGGCCGGAGCTGAGCCGATTGGAAGCCAGGAACCTGGAGCTCCTTCCAGGTCTCCCACACGGGTGCAGGGTCCCGAGGCCTTGGGCCGTCCTCTGCTGCTTTCCCAGGCCACAGGCAGGAAGCTGGATGGGAAATACAGCAGCTGGGACACGAACCAGCACCCACATAGAACAGCAAGCCAAGAATCAACCACCAAGCCATCGCACCAGGCTCAACTCTTCAGCACATCTTAACCGGTTTGGTTTTTGTAAACAACTGGCACAAGCCACCACAGAAAGACAAGAAAAAGGACCAAAAGGCACAGACCGGAAAGACAAAAGCTGAAATTTTTCTTTGCTGATGACTTGCTAGACCAGGTAGAAAATCCTAAGGTTTAGACCCAAACAAGCTACTAGAAATAACAAAGCAATTAGCAAAGCTGCAGGATGTCTGTGTAACATCAACAAGCAGAACTGCAGAGCAGAAAAGCTACAATTACAATCATATCAGAAATGTAAGATGCTCAGGGGTCAACTTAACGTAACACGCCCAAACACTCTCACAAGGAAATCCATAAAACGGTGCTGAGTCACGTGAGCCGAGGGCTTCCTGCAACCGCACTAAGCAGACAGCACGACACCCACACACCCAGCTCCGAGCCTAGCGCCCCCTGCAGGCACAGGCACACAGCTCTTGCGCAGCTGCATAGCCACACTACAGATGCCTGAGTCAACTTTCACCACAGGCCAAGTGCTTCCAGGGACACAGAGGTAAAGGAACAAGCTTTAATATTCAATAACTTTAACAAGTCAGTAACACCAAATGACCTGTTTTAAAATGAAAAAGATTGCATCAAATGCTTCATCAAAAACAGGGCCTAGCACGATAGCCTCATGGTTAAATCCTCACTGTGTATCTCCTAGACCCCAGAGGAGCACCAGTTCATATCCCATCCAGCTCCCTGCCTGTGGCCTGGGAGAGCAGTTGAGGATGGCCCAAAGGCTCAGGACCCTGCACCCACGTGGGAGACCCAGAGGAGGCTCCTGGCTCCTGGTTTCAGATTGGCTCAGTTCTGGCCATTGCGGCCACTTGGGGAGAGAATCAGAGGATGGAAGATCTTCCTCTCTGTCTCTCCTTGTTTCTGCATATCTGCCTTTGCAATAAAAATAAATAAATCTTCAAAAAGAAAAAAAGGAGACAAACAGCAAAGGAGCAAATCAGCACATGGGAAGACTTTCGTCATTAGTCCTGTTAAACTCCAATTAACATCCCAATGAAATGTCTCCCTAAAATAGCCAAAATCAGAAACTGAACAAACTGTGTTGTAACTGAAACCCACAGCCTTGGGGAGCGCCCTGCTGAAGGCCAGACCCTAAGCCAGTGACGCCATACGCAGCGCCTCCCAGGGCAGGGACCCCCAGGGTGGCGAAAAGCAGCTCCAGGCCACTAAGTTGGGAGGGCACGAGGAAGGCACCTAAGACTGGCAGGAGACCTGGAAGGCTGCCCCAGAGCCAGACCCGAGCACTGGCAAGCCCCTCCCCAGGAAGGCTCTTCCCTGTGGGTAACACTGCTTGCATTTCTCCCCTGGAGTCAAACCCTCGGAGCCATATGGCACAAAGCCTGGGACGGGACAGGGGAGAGGGAACTCTCGAGGGTGCTGGCCAGCAGAGGCTAAGGAGCAGGGCCAGCCACGGGCCAGCCTGGAGGGGCCTCACACACTGGCCCTGACATCCTCCCACCTCAACACCCGTTCACCGCTAACAGACTTTGACTCCAGGGACTGGTACGGCTGTTTCAGGTGCAAAGCAAAACCTACTCCAGCCGCACACAGAACCGTGTGTGCACACTAACCCAGGACACAGAGCAGGACGGCTGGAATGCTGAACTGTGTGTTAGGAAGCACTGATTTTCCAATTTATGTAAAAGAATTACACAAAAGGAAGGACAGAGAATTTTCTATCAGCTGGTCCATCTCCCCAAACAGCCACCAGTGCTGGGGCTGGGCCAGGCAGGACCCAGGAGCCAGAGCCTCGTGCAGGAGTGACTCCCAGCTCCTGGGACGTCCCCTACCACCATCCCGGACATGCCAGCTGGGCGTTAGGTCGGAAGTAGAGCCTCCTAGGGATGAACCAGCATCCACATAGATGCCAGCACCTCAGGTGAAGTCTAGTGCACTATGCCACAACCCAAGTCCCTAAAAAAACATATAAAGAGACACCAAAGGGTAAGAGAAGCATCACTAAGAAAGAAAAAAAGATTTAGGAATCCACAGGAAGATACATGTGGCCTGGATTATACAGACTAATCATCTCTTTCATGAAATCAAGCAAACTAGGCTTACCAGCTCTGTTTAAACTCAGGGCTCTGCGGGAGACGTTCTCATCGTGAAAATTATCCTGCAAACTCACTCACCCACAATGCTGAGAACACACGAAGGGAAGCCCGTGCCCCTGCAGCCTGGGGCCGGGGAAGGTCCTGCCAACGTGGCACAGACAACAGGCTCCCGCTGCCTCGGAAACTGAGAACGCCATCTATGCAACTCACCGTGGGCAAATCGCAGCCTGAGTGGGCAGCCAGGTCCAGCCAGACAGCGTGGCCAGAACATCGCCGTCAATACGACCTGCAGGCCAGGCACCATACGAGAATTCCTGCTGCACTGCAGGGAGGGCTGAGCCAGAACAACCGGGCCCCAGCGACAGGCCCCTTCTACGGGGGAAGACTGTCAGAGAGCCCGCCACTCTTAGCAGAACGCTGGAATAGCACACATCCAGCACGACCTGGGATGCAACATGCACATGCTTCAGAGGCCAACCCCGATGACGAGCAGAGCAGATGGCACAGTCATGGGGGGACACGTGGACATATGTGTGGATGTGCCTGCAGCCGCCAGGCCCCAAAGCCAGACACCCCAGGGGAGGCAGGCGGCCCCTGCCCCCACTTCTCAGGGATCTGGCACAGCCACCCCAGAGGATCCAGCCTGACTTTGGAGAAAGCCCCTATACCTCGGCAGGCGGGAACTGTCAGAGAGATGGCTGAGAAATGAGTAAAGGCGACAGCACTCAGCAGGCATGGGCGGAAGGGAAAACAAGGCCAAGAGGTTTACAGACCCTGAAGGGTTCTGTGCCTTAACGGTTAATGAAGTTTATGCAGTTATTCCTTGGAGTTTAAAAGTCAGACGTACCACCATAATAAAATGCAAAAAAAAAAAAAAAAAACCATTATTTGATTTGGTCTAAGTACTCAGCTATTTCAAAAAAAAAAATTCAGTCGGCATTGATGGTCCAGGCACAATAACTACAAAGAAATTAGAGAGGGAGCCGGCGCTATGGCACAGCAGGCCTCCCATACGGAACCAGTTCAAGTCCCACCTGCTTTACTTGCAACCCACGGCTCCCTAACAGCTGGGAAAGCAGCAGAGGATGGCCCAAGTGCTTGCGCCCCTGCCACCCACGTGGGAGACCCAGATAAAGCTCTTGGCTCCTGGCTTTGGCCTAGTTAGTAACTATGACACAGGACTCTAAAACCTACACACTTCTCATTCTCAGAAAGCCAACAGGTTTTGAACATACAAACTAGAAAAGATTTCCAACTAGCTTCAAATATGAGGTACCCGGATTCTGTCGTGTGCTTTAGAACTGTGCTGTGTTTGTGGGGACGTGACTCGGGGAAGTGTAAATCCACACAGACAGAATTCAGCACCAGCACACTAAAGTCACACACCACAGCATGAGGGGACTTCAAGCCTCCACGGGGAACAGACCGGGGTATTTATCTGGTGCAAAAAAATGTGACAATGCATGCAGTTTTCTCCTAATGCCCCTTTCAAGAACTTCTCTCAGATCCTTGGACACGTGAATTCTCACTCTTCTCACTTCTTCTCCCCAAGGGGCCCTGTCACACAGCTCTCCGACAGTCCAGCACAGGGTCAGCCGTGCACACGGCAGGGCACACTCGGGGCAGCTTCCCGAGGGGCAACGTGCATAGAGATGGCCCAGCACTTCTCTGACTCCACTTTCTTCACAATACTATGAAACAATACTAGAAATATCATCTTTAAATTAAGGGAATAACTTCCCTTAAAGTCAGCGATAACACCTTTGTTTTTGCTTATACCCACACACGGAGCTGTACCCAGCACTCAACGAGCCTGCTGCCAGCGCCAAGCGGTCCATAACCTACTTGCGGCTATCTCCTCAATGAACTGCCTCCCCAAGGCCTGCGGCAGCCATATGGTTCAAATCCTTGTTCCTCTGTCCAAAACAAGCTGGTGCTCCAAGCTTCGTGCGTCCAGGTGCCCGTGCTCACAGCAATCAGCTCCCAGAAACTCGGGAAAAACACGCTTTCCACTTACCATGTAGTTACCATAGGCATGATCAAACATTTCCAGTACTTGATTCCTAATTTAGAAAAGCAGAAATGGGAAACAGTTAAGTATAGTCTATTTACTGTCTGTCAAAAAAATTAATTCTCCTTACAAAACATACCAATCAGAAACAAACAAAAAGTCAGGAGACAACGCCAGCTGGCAGCCAGGGCCTGGCATCACACGGGCAGCTCAGCTCCTCTCACTCGGGTACAATTCGCCTCGTGATTTTCACCCGAGAGAACTGTGGGTGCACTCGGTGACCAGAAAGGGAGTCATTACTGACCAAGCAGCTGTTCCTCCTGCAGGTGCCGAGTCTCTCACAGCTGCTGGCAGCACCTCCGCCCAGGGGCCCCTCGCCGCCCCTCCCGAGCCTGAGGCCTCACGGTGGGCTGACCGGAACCAGCATTCCATCAAGCCCCTGACATCCCCCTTAAGCTAAGACCACCAAACCTGCTTCCACATCCATTTTGCATTTTCAAAACTTTTCACATTTACAAAAGATGTATTTTATGTTGTTCTCTCTCAAAAAGCTGTCAAAAACCAAACAGTAGCCATTTCTGTGGCAAGGAAACTCCTGCTCAAAGAGAGAAGCCCAGGTGTTGGCCAGCTGCGTCTCCAGGGCTGCACGGAGGCTCACTAAAGGCACAGCCGCCCTGCCCAGAGCAACACCCTGGGCTGGGCTCAGAACCCAGCACCACACGTCGGGGCATGAGGGGCACAACGGGCTTAAAGACCTGGGTTGAGGGGGCATGGGGGCGAGAGGGCATGAGGGGCTGAGAGGCAGGAGGGCTTGAGGGGAGTGAGGGGAGTGAGGGGTGGAGGGCCTGGAGAGCCTGAGGGGCGCGAGGGGCAGAAGGGTTTGATGGCTCGAGGGGCTGAGGGGGCAGGAGGGCTTGAGGGGTGTGAGGGGTGTGAGGGCTACCTTGTGGACAGAGGTCAGAATTCTAACTAGCTCACTACAGAAGAACAGCCGAACAAATGTCTTTTTAACACTTGCTTTTCCAAAGTTCAAACAGGTGACATTTTCATAGGGCCTCCTGCTGCATTGCAGTTGTCATCTTTAAGATGCGAGTGGGCCTTGTAAGACCCCTGTACCCCAACTTACAGGGCCTGGGTCGCTGGTGAAGACCGTGAGCACCATGGGCTGGATTCCCTGGCTGGCGAGGCCTGGCTGGTGTCCCGGTCCCCAGCTTCCATCCCTCTGGGGCATCCAGGCAATGGACCAGGCAATGGGAGCCCAGTCTCAACCTGATGCTCAAATTAATCAAACTTTTTTTAAATGTAGTCAAAGATAAGGAACTCTTAATAATCATAAAATTACGAGAAAATAACTAACTTCCAGGTCCTAATAATAAGTAACATAGCTAAAAATAATCCAGAACACTCCAACCTGAAAACTGAAAAACCTCCCAACAACTTTTATGTATAACCGCCACCGGAAACACCTCATCATTAAAAACAAGATGTCACCATCTCTGCCAGGACAAAAACTCTTCCTAAGTTTCCCCACAGAGCACAGTTCCGGAGGACCCGATTACAGAAAGTCAGGGCGTAGGTTCCAGGAGCCCTGGACCACTGCAGGTGACTAACCCATAAAATCAGTGATATAACTGCAACTCCACTGACGATGTCCCCCAGGCACCTGTCTGATATAACTACCTCCACTGCAATGTCCCCCAGGCACCTGTCTGATATAACTACCTCCACTGCAGTGTCCCCCAGACACCTGTCTGATATAACTACCTCCACTGCAGTGTCCCCCAGGCACCTGTGCTGAAAGGTGAGAATGGAGGCTTTCTCCTCCACATAACATCAGTACCCCAGTGACTGGAAACCCAGAGACTGCACCTGCACCCCAGCCGACCTTGCTGTGGTCAAGGTCAACCACTGCTGACAGGAGGCAGCCCTTCACACAGCCCAGGGTCAGCAGGGACCTAAAAGGGCACGCATGTCATGGACAGATGCTCAGACTTACACATCAAAGTCTTAACAAAGTCATGTGTCAGCGCAGAACAGCCCAATAATTACTATCTCAAACAGAAGCAGCCACAAGACAAAAGCATATTAGCACAAGATCCACAGCTTTACTTATTTTAAACAATCTGTAAGTCAGCTTTTTTCAAAGTTAGACTATCTGCCAACATGGACAGAAAGTGGACTCCTATATTTCATTCTCCAATAAAGAAGATAACTTTGCAAAATTCACTGTCCTAACAACTAAAATCCCGAACAAGCCAACCCTAATGCATTCCTTGAAGGCCATGACCGCGGAGGACCTGGCAAATCCCACACACCACAAACTGCAAGCAACCACAACTGCCCTCGCCTCACAACTTGTCTTATCTGTTTGGTTTGGGGGTGTAGGGAGAAGGGTGGGACACGTTCTGCTTCGTATCATAAGTCATTATTTGGACTAATGAATCCGATTGCAGATGTCGGGAAACTCCCAGAGCGCAAGGCAGCCAGGTCAGTCTCTGGGGTTCGCAGGGTTAGTCAGAGGGGGCCGGCTGATGGGACAGAATGCGACAGACCTGAGGAACAAGTCTCACTTTGGGAAATGATTCCAAAAGCTTAGCTAAAAAGCTCATGCCAACTTGGCTGCAGAGTTCCAGTTAAAAATCCATCCTGGGAGCAGGTGCCGTGGCCCAGCCAGTGAAGCCGCGGCTCAGGACTCCAGCGTCCAGGGCCAGGGACGCAGCTCCACCAACGCGCCTGAGAAGCAGAGGTGGCCCAAGTGCAGGATTCCCTGCCCTTCCCAAGTTCCTGGGTCCCGGGTTTGGCCTGGCCCAGCCCCGGCTGTTCAACCATTTCAGGAGGGAACCAGCAGGTGGAAGATCTCTCTCTCCCTGCCATTCTAATTCTGATCAAGCATGAGTTACCAAGCGGCTCTCTTCCAAGTAAAAACTCTCGGAAAAGGCAGTTGTGTTTCGATGGCTGACACTTCATCTTGTTCCATCAAGCCATCTCTACTGCTATTTTACCACGAGCTGACTAGGTCTAAAGGAAGCAGTCAGTGGGACAGGAGTCCTCTCTGTCCACTCCAGCACCAGGGACGTGGCCGGCCCGCCCGCCTTTTCTCCTGCTTGCAGGCGGGACGGGGCAAAGTGCAGGCTGTGCCCCCTCCGCGTGCGCCTACCCGGCTGTCCCCTCCCTTAGCGCGCTCCCCGGAGCCGGGCGGGCAGCTGGGGGTACCACGACCGAAACGTCGGGAGCTCTGGCCAGAGGAGCGCAGCCTCACGGGCCGGGGGCTGGCTAACCCGGGGGGCCTAACCAGCGACCTCAGCCGCAGGGGACTGCCGCCGTCCCAGCTGGACGCCCGGAGCCCGGCCGACAGCCGCACCGGCCCCGTCCCTCCCGCGGACACGCCTCTCGGCTGGGGGAGCAGGTGCACCTCCTCCGGGCTCCTGCAGCAGCGTGCCGCCGGGACCCGGTGCAACGTCAGGGGCCCCAGCGGGCGCCGGACCCTCCCCTCCGCACGCCCTTACCCGAGCCTCTGCTTCTCCTCCCGGCTCATGGGCGCGGCGTCCGCCCCGCACACGGCCGTGACGGCCAGCAGGCAGAGCGCCGCCGCGGCCGCCAGCAGGCTGCCGGGCGCTGGCCGCGGGCGCGGACACCCGCTGCCCCGGCCGCCGGCCGTGCTCATCCCGCGGGCTGCGCGCTCGCGCCGCGCTACGCCCGGGCGGCGGGGCGCATATCGGGCGCGGGCGGAGGCGCGGAGCGGACAGGGCCTGCGAACCGCGCACAGCCGGCCGAGCACTGAGGCCACCGAGCAGCCAGGACCGCCGCCCTCCGCCGCCGGCGCACCCCCCGCTTCCGGTGTCGTCGTCTAGGAAACCGGCCGCGCGTCACTTCCGGCGCCCGGGCCGCCTATGCGGGCGGCCGGCGAGAGGGCCGGGCCGGGCGGCGGGAGCGGGCATTGGCCGGGGAAAGGGCGACGTGGACCGAGGCGGGGCCGGGCGAGGAGACCCCCGGGTCCTACGCTGCTGGCGCGCTCCTCCCTCCCCGCCTTCCCTTCCTGGGCTCGCGCTCCGGGAGCCGTCCGGCCCCTCCCCGCTACGCAGGCCGCTTCCCTGGGCTGCGCGGAGTGAGGCGCTCAGTGTCCACGTCACTGCCGCGCAGCCCGCGCTGCCTGGGCCGACCGAGGCCGGCGGCCCGCCACGCTTCCGGCAGGGCTGAGGCGCGCTAGGCTGCTGACTGAGCTCATCCAGGCAGGGCTGAGGAGAGCGAGGCCGGGCACGCCTCGGCAGGGCTGAGGAGAGCGAGGTTGCCAGCCTGACATACCCTGATCCCAAGTCACTGGTGAGGAGAGAGATCGCCATCCTCAGGGAAACCCCTAGAACAGTAGTAGGGGTGTGAATGGAGTTTGGGGACAATCCTGGGGGCTCGGCTCAGTCAGCTCTGCACCATTGGGGTACCTGCACCCTATTTTGTAGAAACCTAGGGCTGAGCTGCACTCCACCAGCCTGTGACTCAGACAAGCACCTGCACTTGCTCAGGACTGCGAGCTGTCGCCCGGACTGCTCCTAAGAACTTGAAGGAGTCGATGGGGTCTCGGTGGCCACGCAGGCTGCTTTTCATGTGGTCATATAACGGACAGGTGGGGGAGCCAGGGACCTTTCTGTGGCCTCCAGGACCATGATAAACCCCGGACTAGAGCCCTGGCAACCTTCACCGCTTACCTCCTGACTACAGCTGAGACTCCTGACTCCTCGCTGTGCCTCCTCAAAATGCAATTGCTAACATGTTGCTTTGCCCTTGTTCCTGCTGTACTAGGGTTTTCCTGCTTCTAAATATCTGTTTCCACCACACTCACAGGAATATCCTTATGCCTGGCCCCAGGGCAGCCCCAGTATGTTCTGTGATCTACGGTAGAGCATCACCCCCTCCTGCATCACGGGCCGTGTCTTCCCAGCTGCCAGGCTTGTGTAGATTCTGCCTCTGGTAACTGTCAGGCCACTGCCTTCTTGCTCTTACTTGCACCCAATTGGCGCCTTTGTGACTTCCTGAGCCATCACGATGGCCGCCTGGGCCCCCCTGCACATGCCCACCGGGGGGAATCCAAGGACACCAGCAGGGGCTCTGCTCTCTGTCTCTGCCTTTACCCTGCCCTACCCTCAGAACCTACTCAGCAGCCAACTTCTCAGCCTCTCTGTGCCATGGCTCTGCCCATCCCCTCTGCTACACACCACCCAGCAAGGCCCAGCTCAGATGCTTCTCCACAGAACCTTCCAGGCAGAAGTCAGCATTCTGGGCTCTCCCTGCTGTGTTTCCCTCCTGGGCCAGTTGCTGAAGACTTCGTCCGCCTGGAGGGCCCTGGCTGGCTAATCAGTACAAGAAACCCAAAGCGGCCAACGCTGTGTCTCCCGATCCCCGCGTCTACAAAGTGGGGCGTTATCTGCTTGTGTGCCCTCTGGGAAAGCACATGAAGTCATCCTGGTGCAGTGTTTATGATTTTGCCCTTTTCACAGATCTGCAATCCTACACTGGCTCCTTCCTAGATCCTCTTCGGCAGCCGACATGATGAAGTTAGCAAAATAAATACCTGCGAGTTGGCTTGGCTGGGGCACAGAGAACACAACCGAAAGGTCAGCACCAATCACCTGGTAGGCGAAAGCCAAGCGCAAACAGAACGACAGTCTGTGACCTTCAGTTATGTTGAAAGGGAGTCAAGTCAATTATTTGGACTGAGTTGTTGGCAATAGCTCAGCCTTTACCTTCTTGATGTTCCAAGACTTTATAAAAGTCAAAGTTGATTATTAACATTAAGAAGCAATATCCTAACGACAAACTGGCCTTTAATGTTTAGCATTTTCAGGCATACTTGTTTGACTCCAAACTAGCACCATTTTTAAAGGTGTAATGAGAAAGCAGAATAGATTGTTTTTGCTGATTTTCTAGATAAAAAGCACCTATTTCTCCCCTACCTTGTTGAAATGCGATTTGTACCTAGTGATCGAGTCCACGTTCCCTGACCTCTGCCACACTGAAGCAGAAGAGCCAGTTTATCAAAATGCACACTGAAGACAGACCAAGAGGAGAATTAATTCACAAAGTGCACCTCCAAAGTAGACCCTTGGTGCAAATCATTATCAGTTCATGGACATGAGGAAAAAAGATTGGAAGTTTTAAGTAGGATGATGCGGGTGCTAGTCGAGAGAGCTTGATGTTGTGTCGGTGGCCAGAGCGCAGGTGGAAGCGTATGAGGAGAAGGGTACGGGCTTGTGAAGGACGCAGAGCTGACGAGCGAGAGCTCATGTGAGGTGGCAAGAATTATGAGCCACTGAGAAAGTGCCCTTTAGCTGGCTCAGAGCTTGTTTGCACAGCCTCCCAGCTTCTGTCAATATGTGTGGTTGCCTCCCTCCCGGATGTGTCAGAAGTCAGGGCACCGTGGGAGAACTGTGTGGGTTCTCACCCAGAAGCGGGAGGCACCAGGTGCTGGCGCAGCCCAGCTGTGAGAGCCACTCCTGCACAGCAACTCCCCACAGAGACCATTCCCTACCGCAGTCCGAGGTACTCCCAGAGCCCGGCATGGATCCGGGAGAGCCCATCCCCTACCGCAGTCCGAGGTACTCCCAGAGCCCGGCATGGATCTGGAAGGGAATTTGTCATTCTGCGTATCTCTTCCCTGTGGTTTGACAGCAACCCAGTCTTGGAAATAGGGAGCTAGCAACCCACGGCATGTCAACAGCTCCGAACTTGGAGGCCCCAGAAGTCCTTTGTCAAAGGCCCCTCTGTGTCAGAGGAACTTCCTAAGTTCCAAGAAAGGGAATGCCAAGGTCAGAGTACTGAGTGGTGCGTGGGAGGTCACTGTTACAGCTCAAGTAGATGGGCTCCAGCAACCCACCACCAAGCAGACCCTGAGCGAGTTCCCTCCTTCCTCTCCAGCACGACTGTCCAGGGCATTTGGGGAGTGAACCAGTGGACATGAAGTCTTTCTGCTTATCTCTGTTTCTCAAGTCATTCTTAAATTTGAAAGTAAGCCATTTGTGTATTGATTGAGAGTTCTCTGTTATCTATCTTCAACATTCTTATTTCCCAGAAACTCCAGTTGCATACCAACATATATATACATGTATATATATACATGTATGCTATACATACATAACTTTATAGCACATATGTGTATTTGTGTATATATGCACCTAATACTGCATTTTCAAACTTTCTTCTTCCTATCCTGTATGGCTTAAACAGAGTTATCTAAATTTGTGAAATCCCATTGTTTCTTGAACAATGTGGTCTCAATCGATATAAATACTGATGATAGTCCTTAAGTCCTTAAAAATCAGTGTTTCCCAGCTAGCTTCTCTAGCTTCAAGTCGTGTGAAAACAGCGCTTTATTTCTGTCTCTTCTGCAGATACACTGGAAGGTGTGGAAGGTTTCATTGAGGGTCTGCCTGGGTGTTTTTCACAAGTAGGCCTTTCAGTATTTTCATTGATGAAGCAAGAGTGGGCAAGCTTTTTCTCAGATGAAGAGTAAGTACTTGTTGGTTGCTCTGCAGATCAGTCTGTAATGCCTCCACGTGAGTGGACAGCCTCCACGTGCACATGGAAGGCCTCCACATGATTGGTCAGCCTCCACGTGCACATGGAATCCCTCCACATGATTGGTTGGCCTCCACATGCACATGGAATGCCTCTACATGATTGGTCAGCCTCCACGTGCACATGGAATGCCTCCACATGATTGATCAGCCTCCACGTGCACATGGAATGCCTCCACGTGATTGGTCAGCCTCCACGTGCACATGGAATCCCTCCACATGATTGGTTGGCCTCCACATGCACATGGATTGCCTCCACGTGATTGGTCAGCCTCCACGTGCACATGGACTCCCTCCACATGATTGGTTGGCCTCCACGTGCACATGGAATCCCTCCACATGATTGGTCAGCCTCCACGTGCACATGGAATGCCTCCACGTGATTGGTCAGCCTCCACATGCACATGGAATGCCTCCACGTGATTGGTCAGCCTCCACGTGCACATGGAATCCCTCCACATGATTGGTTGGCCTCCACGTGCACATGGAATGCCTCTACATGATTGGTCAGCCTCCACGTGCACATGGAATGCCTCCACATGATTGGTTGGCCTCCACGTGCACATGGAATGCCTCCACGTGATTGGTCAGCCTCCACATGCACATGGAATGCCTCCACGTGATTGGTCAGCCTCCACGTGCACATGGAATGCCTCCACATGATTGGTTGGCCTCCACGTGCACATGGAATGCCTCCATATGATTGGTCAGCCTCCACATGCACATGGAATGCCTCCACATGAGTGGACAGCCTCCATGTGCACGTGACTGCCCTGGAGAGCTGTGGTTCTGGAGAGTTCTTTCCCCTTGCCTCAGTGAAGAGGCGAGTCCAGCTGCATTGTGTAGGGAACGATGCTATGGTTAGTCCACTGCTCTAGATGAATGCGCTTTGGCTGCAGAACTAGCTCTTAAGCACCCAGCACCTTCGGAACCTCCCTAGACTCTGGAGCTTGCTCCTAAGTTTAGTCCTGCTCTGAGACCACAGGGCTCCTGGCTGTAATGTCTAATGTTAGTTTCTGATATTTCTCCGCATCACCTCACATCAATTCCCGCTGCTTTTCATCCCTCACACTCATGCCTACTCGTAAACAGGACCTTGGGCTCCTGTGTGGGT